ATATGATAAATACATATTTATTTGTATTTATAAATACATTATTGTTGTTGTATTTGATACATCACAAATTTACTATGTTTTTCTGTAGAATCCTGTTTCATAATAACCTACTTTTGTTTGTAAATCTGTGATAACTTCAAAGTGTTTTGTACTCTGTGATAACATCACAACCGTTACTTGTTGTTTGTACTCTGTGATAACATCACAACCGTTACTTGTTGTTTGTACTCTGTGATAACATCACAACCGTTACTTGTTGTTTGTACTCAGTGATAACATCACAACCGTTACTTGTTGTTTGTACTCTGTGACAACATCACAACCGTTACTTGTTGTTTGTACTCAGTGATAACATCACAACCGTTACTTGTTGTTTGTACTCAGTGATAACATCACAACCGTTACTTGTTGTTTGTACTCTGTGATACCATCACAACCGTTACTTGTTGTTTGTACTCTGTGATAACATCACAACCGTTACTTGTTGTTTGTACTCTGTGACAACATCACAACCAGTTACTTGTTGTTTGTACTCAGTGATAACATCACAACCGTTACTTGTTGTTTGTACTCTGTGATAACATCACAACCTTACTTGTTGTTTGTACTCTGTGATAACATCACAACGTTACTTGTTGTACTCTGTGACAACATCACAACCCGTTACTTGTTGTTTGTACTCTGTGATAACATCACAACCGTTACTTGTTGTTTGTACTCGTGATAACATCACAAACGTTACTTGTTGTTTGTACTCTGTGATCATCACAACCGTTACTTGTTGTTTGTACTCTGTGAAACATCACATACCGTTACTTGTTGTTTGTACTCTGTGACAATCACAACCGTTACTTGTTGTTTGTACTCATGTGACATCACAACCGTTACTTGTTGTTTGTACTCGTGAAAACAATCACAACCGTTACTTGTTGTTTGTACTCTGTGACAATATCACAACCGTTACTTGTTGTTTGTACTCTGTGACACATCACAACCGTTACTTGTTGTTTGTACTCTGTGACAACATCACAACCGTTACTTGTTGTTTGTACTCTGTGACAACATCACAACCGTTACTTGTTGTTTGTACTCTGTGATACATCACAACCGTTACTTGTTGTTTTTGTGACTCAGTGGGATTAACATCACAACCGTTACTTGTTGTTTGTACTCTGTGATAACATCACAACCGTTACTTGTTGTTTGTACTCTGTGACATCACAACCGTTACTTGTTGTTTGTACTCTGTGACAACATCACAACCGTTACTTGTTGTTTGTACTCAGTGATAACATCACAACCGTTACTTGTTGTTTGTACTCTGTGATAACATCACAACCGTTACTTGTTGTTTGTACTCTGTGATAACATCACAACCGTTACTTGTTGTTTGTACTCAGTGATCAACATCACAACCGTTACTTGTTGTTTGTACTCAGTGATAACATCACAACCGTTACTTGTTGTTTGTACTCTGTGATAACATCACAACCGTTACTTGTTGTTTGTACTCTGTGATAACATCACAACCGTTACTTGTTGTTTGTACTCTGTGATAACATCACAACCGTTACTTGTTGTTTGTACTCTGTGATAACATCACAACCGTTACTTGTTGTTTGTACTCTGTGATACATCACAACCGTTACTTGTTGTTTGTACTCTGTGATAACATCACAACCGTTACTTGTTGTTTGTACTCTGTGACAACATCACAACCGTTACTTGTTGTTTGTACTCAGTGATAACATCACAACCGTTACTTGTTGTTTGTACTCTGTGATAACATCACAACCGTTACTTGTTGTTTGTACTCTGTGATAAACATCACAACCGTTACTTGTTGTTTGTACTCTGTGATAACATCACAACCGTTACTTGTTGTTTGTACTCTGTGATAACATCACAACCGTTACTTGTTGTTTGTACTCTGTGACAACATCACAACCGTTACTTGTTGTTTGTACTCAGTGATAACATCACAACCGTTACTTGTTGTTTGTACTCAGTGATAACATCACAACCGTTACTTGTTTGTACTCAGTGATAACATCACAACCGTTACTTGTTGTTTGTACTCAGTGATAACATCACAACCGTTACTTGTTGTTTGTACTCAGTGATAACATCACAACCGTTACTTGTTGTTTGTACTCTGTGATAACATCACAACCGTTACTTGTTGTTTGTACTCTGTGACAACATCACAACCGTTACTTGTTGTTTGTACTCTAGTGATAACATCACAACCGTTACTTGTTGTTTGTACTCAGTGATAACATCACAACCGTTACTTGTTGTTTGTACTCGTGATGACATCACAACCGTTACTTGTTGTTTGTACTCATGTGATAACATCACAACCGTTACTTGTTGTTTGTACTCTGTGATAACATCACAACCGTTACTTGTTGTTTGTACTCTGTGATAACATCACAACCGTTACTTGTTGTTTGTACTCTGTGATAACATCACAACCGTTACTTGTTGTTTGTACTCAGTGATAACATCACAACCGTTACTTGTTGTTTGTACTCAGTGATAACATCACAACCGTTACTTGTTGTTTGTACTCAGTGATAACATCACAACCGTTACTTGTTGTTTGTACTCTGTGATAACATCACAACCGTTACTTGTTGTTTGTACTCTGTGATAACATCACAACCGTTACTTGTTGTTTGTACTCTGTGATAACATCACAACCGTTACTTGTTGTTTGTACTCAGTGATAACTCACAACCATTACTTGTTGTTTGTACTCAGTGATAACATCACAACGTTACTTGTTGTTTACTCAGTGATAACATCACAACCGTTACTTGTTGTTTGTACTCAGTGATAACATCACAACCGTTACTTGTTGTTTGTACTCAGTGATAACATCACAAACGTTACTTGTTGTTTGTACTCTGTGACATCACAACCGTTACTTGTTGTTTGTACTCTGTGATAACATCACACCCGTTGCTTGTTGTTTGTACTCAGTGATAACATCACAACCGTTACTTGTTGTTTGTACTCAGTGAACATCACAACCGTTACTTGTTGTTTGTACTCTGTGACAAAATCACAACCGTTACTTGTTGTTTGTACTCTGTGACAATATCACAACCGTTACTTGTTGTTTGTACTCTGTGACATCACAACCGTTACTTGTTGTTTGTACTCGTGATAACATCACAACCGTTACTTGTTGTTTGTACTCAGTGATAACATCACAACCATTACTTGTTGTTTGTACTCAGTGATAACATCACAAACATTACTTGTTTGTACTCAGTGATAACATCACAACCGTTACTTGTTGTTTGTACTCAGTGATAACATCACAACCGTTACTTGTTGTTTGTACTCTGTGACAACATCACAACCGTTACTTGTTGTTTGTACTCTGTGACATCACAACCGTTACTTGTTGTTTGTACTCTGTGACAACATCACTCACGTTGCTTGTTGTTTGTACTCTGTGACAACATCACAACCGTTACTTGTTGTTTGTACTCTGTGACATCACAACGTTACTTGTTGTTTGTACTCTGTGACAAAATCACAACCGTTACTTGTTGTTTGTACTCTGTGACAATATCACAACCGTTACTTGTTGTTTGTACTCTGTGACATCACAACCGTTACTTGTTGTTTGTACTCTGTGACAACATCACAACCGTTACTTGTTGTTTGTACTCTGTGACAACATCACAACCGTTACTTGTTGTTTGTACTCTGTGACAACATCACAACCGTTACTTGTTGTTTGTACCCCTGTGACAACATCACAACCGTTACTTGTTGTTTGTACTCTGTGACATCACAACCGTTACTTGTTGTTTGTACTCTGTGACAACATCACAACCGTTACTTGTTGTTTGTACTCTGTGACATCACAACCGTTACTTGTTGTTTGTACTCTGTGACAACATCACAACCGTTACTTGTTGTTTGTACTCTGTGACATCACAACCGTTACTTGTTGTTTGTACTCTGTGACATCACAACCGTTACTTGTTGTTTGTACTCTGTGACAACATCACAACCGTTACTTGTTGTTTGTACTCTGTGACAATCACTCACGTTGCTTGTTGTTTGTACTCTGTGACTGCATCACAACCGTTACTTGTTGTTTGTACTCTGTGACAACATCACAACCGTTACTTGTTGTTTGTACTCTGTGACAACATCACAACCGTTACTTGTTGTTTGTACTCTGTGACAACATCACAACCGTTACTTGTTGTTTGTACTCTGTGACATCACAACCGTTACTTGTTGTTTGTACTCTGTGACATCACAACCGTTACTTGTTGTTTGTACTCTGTGACAACATCACTCACGTTGCTTGTTGTTTGTACTCTGTGACAACATCACAACCGTTGCTTGTTGTTTGTACTCTGTGACAACATCACAACCGTTACTTGTTTGTACTCAGTGACATCACAACCGTTACTTGTTGTTTGTACTCTGTGACATCACAACCGTTACTTGTTGTTTGTACTCTGTGACAACATCACAACCGTTACTTGTTGTTTGTACTCTGTGACAACATCACAACCGTTACTTGTTGTTTGTACTCTGTGACATCACAACCGTTACTTGTTGTTTGTACTCTGTGACAACATCACTCACGTTAATTGTTGTTTGTACTCTGTGGCAACATCACAACCGTTACTTGTTGTTTGTACTCTGTGACATCACAACCGTTACTTGTTGTTTGTACTCTGTGACAACATCACAACCGTTACTTGTTGTTTGTACTCTGTGACAACATCACAACCGTTACTTGTTGTTTGTACTCTGTGACATCACAACCGTTACTTGTTTGTACTCTGTGACAACATCACAACCGTTACTTGTTGTTTGTACTTTGTGACAACATCACAACCGTTACTTGTTGTTTGTACTCTGTGACAACATCACAACCGTTACTTGTTGTTTGTACTCTGTGACAACATCACAACCGTTACTTGCTGTTTGTACTCAGTGATAACATCACAACCGTTACTTGTTTTTTGTACTCAGTGATAACATCACAACCGTTACTTGTTGTTTGTACTCTGTGATAACATCACAACCGTTACTTGTTGTTTGTACTCTGTGACAACATCACTCACGTTAATTATTGTTTGTAACTAAAATTTCGAACGTTTTTTTTTTCGCTCAGGTACAACATATGTAGCCGAGTGACAGACAGGTGCGCCACTCTGGGTGTGTCTGAGATCGCTGGCATGTGTCAGCCACTCAGATCTTGTAATGTCAACGAGGACACGGGGCTGCAGATTGCTTACACCATCGCTCACGAACTGGGCCACAAGTAAGACCTGTGTTGATCAGTGTTGTTCGTGAACTGAGTGCTTCATGTTATCAGTGTACTCTGAGTGGTCATTGCTGATGCATACAGTATCTTCCCTTGCATATATAACGCCACACTGAGACAAGAAAACGGAATAATCTTTGCAGATTTGACGAGAATTGAGTCACTCAACGTACAAGACTTAATTTCAGTTTGCCAGTCAGGGCATTTTGGCTCCTATTTTTAGTGTTTATTGTCTCTCTGTGGGTTCGTGTGTGCTGTCAGAGGAGAGTCTCTCAGCCTCAGTGTCTCTCCGTCTCTCAGCTTTGGCATGAACCACGACGGTCCACAGAACGGCTGTGAGAGTCACCTTGGATCAACCCAGCACGTCATGTCTCCCCACCTCACCAATGATGCCATCCCAGTGACCTGGTCCAACTGTAGCAGACACGAGATAACACACTTCCTGGAGTGAGTACCATAGTGTTCTTCCTGACACTTCCTAGAGTACCATAGTGTTCTTCCTGACACTTCCTAGGGTGCCATACTGTACTTCCTGACACTTCCTAGAGTGAATACCATCCTGTTCTTCCTGACACTTCCTAGAGTGAGTGCCATCTTGTTCTTCCTGACACTTCCTCGACTGAGTACCATCCTGTTCTTCCTGGCACTTCCTAGAGTGAGTACCATCCTGTTCTTCCTGACACTTCCTAGAGTGAGTACCATCCTGTTCTTCCTGGCACTTCCTAGAGTGAGTACCATCCTGTTCTTCCTGACACTTCCTAGAGTGAGTACCATCCTGTTCTTCCTGACACTTCCTAGAGTGAGTACCATCCTGTTCTCCTGACACTTCCTAGAGTGAGTACCATCCTGTTCTTCCTGACACTTCCTAGAGTGAGTACCATCCTGTTTCTCCTGACACTTCCTGACGAGTACCATCCTGTTCTTCCTGACACTTCCTAGGTGGCCATCTGTACTTCATGACACTTCCTAGAGTGAGTACCATCCTGTTCTTCCTGACACTTCCTCGACTGAGTACCATCCTGTTCTTCCTGACACTTCCTAGAGTGAGTACCATCCTGTTCTTCTTGACACTTCCTAGAGTGAGTACCATCCTGTTCTTCCTGACACTTCCTAGAGTGAGTACCATCCTGTTCTTCCTGGCACTTCCTAGAGTGAGTACCATCCTGTTCTTCCTGACACTTCCTAGAGTACCATCCTGTTCTTCCTGCACTTCCTCGAGTGAGTACCATCCTGTTCTTCCTGGCACTTCCTCGACTGAGTACCATCCTGTTCTTCCTGACTTCCCATCTGTCTCAACAGTTCTTATACCTACAATATTTTCTCTACAACACAAGACATCTAGAAAACGGCTACTCAAGATATTTTTTTTTAATTATGTGGCCGAAGTTGCTAATTTATTGTGGACGTCACATGTGGAGGGTCGTTCAAGAATTATGAATACACGAAATACCTATGAACTAGCCAACAAAATTAGTTAGGAGAAGCAGCTATTGTATTTTCTCATTGCTTTGGTAACTTCTATTCACTGAACCTTGCATATACCCCGACTGCCAGACTACCCTTCGTATATATGTCTGTGGCATCTAGCTTGTAGACCATCCTGTGGGTTACTTGCAGATGGTTCTGTGTGGTCATGATCCAAGTGTCGTGGTCTTAGACCGGCATCCTGGTTGATGTCCTGGTCAGTCAGGCTGTTGGTGAACCTGCTTCCTCTATTGTTGATAATGTGACTACTGGGTATCTCGTTGCTGGCGGTGGGCACTAACAGTTTGGTCAATCAGGGCAGCAAGCAGGAGGCCTGGTCTGGCCGCTGACCTCAGGAACAGACTATAGTCAACCTACACGATATTTAACCTGGATAATATAGCAAGTTTATATTGATATGTAAGTTATATTAGAGAGGTGAGGTTAAGAGAGGTTAGAGAGGCAGGTGGTAGGCAGCACCAGCACTCACCAGCTGACAGCAGGTAAGGCCCGTCTGTCTCTTGTTACGTTTGCCATCTGTCCTCTTTGAATCCAGGTCACGCGGGTTGCCATCTGTCGCTGCCTCTCAGGTCACTAGCTGTCCCTGCCTCTCAGGTCATCAACTGTCCCTGCCTCCCAGGTCACCAGCTGTCCCCGCCTCTCAGGTCACAAGCTGTCCCTGCCTCTCAGGTCACAAGCTGTCCCTGCCTCTTAGGTCACAAGCTGTCCCTACCTCTCAGGTCACTAACTGCCCCTGCCTCCCAGGTCACAAGCTGTCCCTGCCTCTCAGGTCACTAACTGCCCCTGCCTCCCAGGTCACCAGCTGTTCCCGCCTCTCAGGTCACAAGCTGTCCCTGCCTCTTAGGTCACAAGCTGTCCCTGCCTCTCAGGCCACTAGCTGCCCCTGCCTTCCAGGTCACTAGCTGTCCCTGCCTCTCAGGTCATCAGCTGTCCTTGCCTCCCAGGTCACACAGGTTATCAAGGCTCCCTCTTCCTACAGGTCAGAGATCTCCCAAACATTACATCCGTAAAATGTACGAAATACTAAATTTTGTACATATCTAGTTTACTAGAGAGGGAAGTCTAACTAGAAGTCAGCCTGTTAGTTAGTTACTAGTTGTCAAAGACACTTGTCAGTAGACACTGCGTGTGTACTCACCTAATTGTGGTTGCAGGGGTCGAGACTCGGCTCCTGGTCCCGACTGTGTGTGTGTGTGTGTGTGTGTGTGTGTGTGTGAGAACAGACCAGGAAATGTTCACAGAAGCAGAGCTGGATTAAGATTTTCTAGGCCCCTGGGGTACAGGTACTGTGAGACCCCTGTGGTACAAGTACTGTGAGGCCCCTGGGTTTCAGGTACTGTGAGGCCCCTGGGCTACAGGAACTGTGAGGCCCCTGGGCTACAGGTACTGTGAGGCCCCTGGGCTACAGGTACTGTGAGGCCCCTAGACTACAGGTACTGTGAGGCCCCTTGGCTACAGGTACTGTGAGGCCCCTGGGCTACAGGAACTGTGAGACCCCTGGGCAACAGGTACTGTGAGGCCCCTGGGCTACAGGTACTGTGAGACCCCTGGGCTACAGGTACTGTGATGCTCCTGGGCTACAGGTACTGTGAGGCCCCTGGGCTAGAGGTAGTGTGAGGCTCCTGGGCTACAGGTACTGTGAGGCCCTTGGGCAACAGGTGCTGTGAGGCCCCTTGGCTGCAGGTACTATGAGGTCTCTGGGCTACAGGTACTGGGAGGCCCCTGGGCTACAGGTACTGTGAGGCTCCTGGGCTACAGGTACTGTGAGACCCCTGGGTCTGCAGGTACTCTGAGGATCTCTGGCTACTGGTACTGTGAGCTCGTGGGCTACAGGCACTGTGAGGCCCCTTGGCTAGAGGTACTGATGGAGGGCTCCTGGGCTAAGGTACTGTGAGGCCCTGGGCACAGGTACTGATGAGCTCCTGGGCTACAGGTACTGTGAGGCCCCTGGGCTACAGGTACTGTGTAGCCCCTGGGCTACAGGTACTGTAAGAACCCTGGGCTGCAGGTACTGTGAGGCCCCTGGGCTACAGATACTGTGAGGCTTCTTGGCTACAGGTACTGTGAGGCCCCTGGGGTACAGTACTGTGAGGCCACTGGGCTACAAGTACTGTGAGGCCCCTGGGCTAAAGGTACTGTGAGGCCCCTGGGCTACAGGTACTGTAAGGCCCCTTGGCTACAGGTACTGTGAGGCCCCTGGGCTACAGGTACTCTGAGGCCCATGGGGTACTGGCACTGTGAGGCCCCTGGTCTACAGGTACTGTGAGGCTTCTGGGATACACGTACTGTGAGGCTTCTGGGCTACAGGTACTGTGAGGCCCCTGGGTTATAGGTACTATGAGGATCCTGGGCTACAGGTAGCCTGCTGTGAGGCTCCTGGGCTACAGGTACTGAGAGCCTCCTTTGCTACAGGTACTGTGAGGCCTCTGGGCTACAGGTACCGTGAGGCACCTGGGCTAAAGGTACTGTGACGCCCCTTGGTTACAGGTTCTGTGAGGCCCCTGGGCTACAGGTACTGTGAGGCCCCTGGGTTAAAGGGACTGTGAGGCTCCTTGGCTTCGGGTACTATGATACTCCTAGCCTGAAGGTACTGTGAGGTTCTTGGGCTACAGGTAGCCTACTGTGAGGCTCCAGGGCTACAGGTACTGTGACGCCCCTGGGCGACAGGTACTGTGAGGCTCCTGGGCTACAGGCACTGTGAGGCCCCTGGGCTCAGGTACTGTGAGGCTCCTGGCTAAGGTACTGTGAGGTTCTGGTCTAAAGGTACTGTAAAGGCCCCTGGTTACAGGTACTGTGAGGCCCCTGGTCTATAGGTACTGTGGGTGAGTGTTTTGGGTAAGTGCACTGTGTAGGTGCCACCTGGGCTGAGGTACTGTGCGGCTCTGGTAGTGTGTGAGCGTTTGGTTAAGTGTGTGTGAATTGCAGCCGTTGGTGTGTGCAACCGTTGTGGTGCCTGCAGTTGTTGTGTGTGTGTTGCGAGGTTGTTTGTGTGTGTGTTGCAAGCCGTTGAGTGTGTGTTGCAACCGTTGTGTGTGTTGCAGTCTGTTGTGTGTGTGTTGCGGCCGTTGTATGTGTGTGTTGTTGCAGCCGTTGAGTGTGTGTTGCAACCGTTGTGTGTGTTGCAGTCGTTGGTGTGTGTTGCAGCCGTTTATGTGTGTTGGTGTTGCAGCCGATTGAGTGTGTGTTGCAACCGTTTGAGTGTGTTGCACGTTGTTGTTGTCGTGATGTCTCGGCCGTGTATTGGTGTCGGATTGGTTGAGTTCCGGCACGTCAGTATTGTGCTCTGGCAACCTGTATTGTGTGTCTCTGCACTGCAGTATCGGTTCTGGCCTCAGTATTGAGTGTCTCTGGCACAGTCTGTATATGAGTGTGTTTGGCACTGTCGTATCTGAGTGTTTGGCACCCTCAGTATCTGAGTGTGTGTCTGGCGAACGTCTTATCTGAGTATCTCCACTCAGTATCTGAGTGTCTCTGCACGTCAGTATCTGAGTGTCTTGACACAGTCAGTATCGAGTGTTCTGACACGTCAGTATCTGAGTGTCTCTGGCACAGTAGTATCTGATGTGTCTCTGACACGTCAGTATCTGAGTGTCTCTGGCACACAGTCAGTATCTGAGTGTCTCTGAACGTCGTATCTAGTGTATCTGCACAGTCAGTATCTGGTTCTCGCACAGTCAGTATCTGAGTGTCTCTGACACCTCAGTATCTGAGTGTCTCTGACACGTCAGTATCTGAGTGTCTCTGGCACCGTCAGTATCTGAGTGTCTCTGCACAGTCAGTATTGAGTGTCTTTGGCACAGTCAGTATCTGAGTGTCTCTGGCACTCAGTATCTGAGTGTCTCTGGCACACCTCAGTATCTGAGTGTTTCTGGCCAGTCATATCTGAGTGTCTTGACACAGCTCAGTATCTGAGTGTCTTTGACACATCAGTATCTGAGTGTCTTCTGGCACATCAGTATCTG